ATGCTGGAGACCCGGGCCCCCGACACATCGACCACTTCTGGAAGACGGGACCGGTTTTCATCCCGGCCGAAGCCTCTGAAAAACCTCCGTGTCGATGCGGCGCGCACCAAGGCGAGGGGGAAGGGGGGATAGCTTCTTGGAAGGAGACTGTTTCTTAGAAGGTGCAGGCCATGCTTCTATAGACAATACCCGCGCCTTCCAAGAAGCAGCCTCCTTCTAAGAAGCCTTCCCCCTCCGCCTATCACCTTTGTGCGCGTGGGCCGAGATTTTCTCGAGACGTCAGATGTTTGGGATTGGAAACGGTGGTGCCCGCGCGCGACCTCACGCGGGCAGCCTGCGCGAGCGAGCCCGCGCGATCGAGGCCCCGCGTGTGTGTTTCTTCACCCGTCTGGGCCTGTCTGCGCCCGTGGGTGCCCTTGCGCCGCGGCCCTGCAGCTGCCACGGTCTCCGCTGGCGGGGCTGGCAGCCCACTCGCGCGAGAATTCTTCTGCCTCTGAGTGGCCTTGTCTTCCCCCCCCCGGCCGCCCGCTCTGCCATCTCCCCCTCTTGCATGCTGGCACAATGCGCGTCACGGCACCCCCGTCTGGCTCACGCCGCCGACGGAGAAAAATGTGCTTGCGCCGCTCGCCCGCCGAGCGGAGCGCCCAATCCTCGCAGGCCGCCCGCCCGCGCCGCCGGCCGCCCGTGGCCCGCGTCGGCGGCCGCAGCGGCCGTCGGCCGCTGGCCCGCCGAGGGCCCGCCGAAGACGAGGCCCGCCGAGGGCCCGCCGAGGGCCCGCCCGCCGAGCGGCGAGGGGTCCTCGCAGGTCCAGCTCTTCACGTCCGTGGGGTCGTTGTTCACGAAGGCGGGGGTGCAGGTCTCCTGGGGGTCCGCGCCAGGAGGAGGAGGAGGAGGCGGAGGAGGAGGAGGAGGAGGAGGAGGAGGAGGAGAACTCTCCCAATGACTTCCCGAAGCCGCAGCCGACGCGGTCGGGGCTCTCGGGGAGCCTGGGAGGCATCCGTGTGATGGCCTCCACTGAAAAACGCGAGAGAAAACCCAAGCCACCATCTTGGTGGCGGTGGTGCTGCATTCCTCCGAAATGCCTCTGCAACGCCCCCTCCCCGCTGCCCGGCGGATCTACCGGTCGATGAACTGGAATGCGATCCGCTGCTCACAGCACATCCAATCGCGCTCGCCTTCCTCACTGGACCCCACCAGCCCTGTAGGGCGTAGGTGGTTTAGGGCGTTTCCTCTTCCACCCCCTTCTTCCCCTTCGGGGAGGGGCCACCCCTGCCCCCACCCCCTCCCCTGGACCTGGACGGGGCGTCTCGCGAGCGGTCGTAAACCCCGAAGCGGCCTCGGCGAGGAAACCAAAATCATCGGCCCCACTACGGCATTGGCCCCCTTTTGAGGCTCCCGAGAGAGGGGGCCAATTGAAGCCCCCCCCCCTTCTTTCATCGATCTCCTCCAGGATGGCCCCACGAGCGCTCCCGAGGCCCCCCAGGGTGCCCCAAGAGGGCCCCAGGAACTGGCCAGGAGGCCCCAAGAGGCCCCAAAGCCCCCAGGACGCCCCCAAGAGGCCACCAAGACACCCCAAGAGGCCCCAACATGCCCCCCAGAGGAACCCAAGACGCCCCGAGAGGCCTCGGCGAAAATGCCAAAATCATTGATTTCACCATGGTTTTGCCACATCGTGGCCTCCTTGGGGGGGGGGGGCGGGGGGGCGCCGCTTAAGATGACCCTCGGAGCGCCTGGGAGAACCCAAGCTGGCCTCCAAGATGGCTCAAGACCTCCCAAGTTGCCTCCATACGGCTCCCACGATGCGCCAAGAGGCCCCACGCATTGTGGCCTCCTGGGGGGGGGGAGGGGGGGGCGCCGCTTAAGATGGCTCTCGGAGCGCTTGGGAGAACCCAAACTGGCCTCCAAGATGGCTCAAGGTATCCCAAGTTGCCTCAAGATGGTCCCCACGATGCTCCAATAGGCCCCAAGACCGCTCCAAGGTGGTCCCAAGTGGCCAAAGAGCTCCCCCAGGAGGCCCCGAAGAGGCCAAAATCCTTCCACGGGAGCGGGCACGACGCGAGCAACAGGTGCCCCCGCGTCTTGGAACGAGGGGGCCGATACTGCAGGTACCCCCGCGTCGCACTAGAGCGGGATAGGTGCTGCCGCGTCTGAGGACGACGTCGGCACGGCGTTACTCTTGGCCGAGCTGTTGGCGGGGACCACGGCCATGGCCTCATCCAGCCTCCCGCGCGGGTCCGTGATCTCCTGGGCCTGCTGGATTACCGCGGCCGCTGAGGTACCCTGACGCGTCGATGCGATGCCCCAATGATGCCCTGTCCACGGCACATGGCGCACGGGGCCTCCACATTGGCTCCCGACCTGCCACTCGCAACGCGCGCGCTCATTGCGGTCGCAACAGTCGGCATGGCATCGACGCCCGCACTGCAGCCCCCACGTCATTTCACATGGTACGAAGGCTTCTAAACACACTGCCCACTGTGCGAACGACATGCAAGAAACGAGCGGCGCGTCTGCGATGGGGCGCGCATGCCCTTGGCGCTGCAGCGCAGTCTCTAAGGGCCCGCGCGGCAATGGTGGAGGCCCACCGCGGGTAACCGTCCTCGGAGTGGACCTCGCAGTAGGCGCCTAGCCGCGCTGGGCGTTGTTGATCAGACGCTGAATGCGCCTCGCTGCCCGATCAGTCGCAGCCCTCCCCGCGTCCTCCGCCGCCCGCGCGCCGGCCTGCATCGTCTGATGGATGTCGTGCAGGCGCGGAGGCGGGTGATTCATGAGTGCGTCTATCTCAAGGGCAGTCTGCTGCGCCTCTGCTCAGGATCACCTGGTGCAGGCTGGTAGCCCATGCGAGGGAAAGGGTCTGTGTCTGATACGTGCACCAACTGGAGACGGCAGAATTCGTCTGCCATGCTCCTCGTCACCTGGTTCTGGGTCAACTGACCAAACATGGGCGCGTCGTTGACCTCCGCACATTACTCGGGGAACAGTGGTTAATCCATTGGCGGCGCTGCCGGCGGAAGTAGTTTCGGTGCGCAAGCAGGAATGAACGGCAACCGATCAGGATGGCCTGCGGGGGGGCTCGCATCTGGAACCCATTCTCATGGTGGCGCCCAGCGCACCCTGTCGGTTACATCCACACCCAGCAGGCGCATCTCCGACATTGCTGCCTGATGCTGCCGCTGCATGAACCTCTGCTTCTCAGGAGCCGACTGCCCGCGCCCAGGCCGTTGCTGCGATGGTGAAGCGATCGGAGAGCCCGTGGGACTGTCAGTGACCTGGCTTTTTTGTCGCGGTGTACCGAAGGGCGTCGTAGCCCTCACCGCGGCAGCCAAGTCCGGCTGCTTGCGCAGCAAAGCCCATCGCCGCATCAACTCCTCATGGCTCGTCCAAAGAGTCTGCTGGCCACTGGGCGTGTCCACCCTTGAGGCGATACCCGCTTCAGACCGAGCCTGACCGAATGGCATCGGTTCGAACCTCGTGGAGCCAGCGTGCGACTGGCTGGGGCATTGGTGGCCCGAAACTCGCGGGTGGCCCCGCTGGAGCGCCTCCTAGGGCTGCTGCCCAAGAGCCATGCCTCGTAGATATGTCGGACAACTGAAACGGAGGTACCGTCCAGGATGCAAACGATCCAGTGCCCGTCGGCAGGTGCCCCCGCATCCATCACGAGGCACGTGTACGTCTCGCTGCCGAGAGGCCCATCAAACGCAGGATCACCGAAGGCGTAGTCTGTGGCAGGCGTGAACCAGCCCCGTTGAAGATCATCTAGCCTCAACTTGATCTCGGGCTCTGCACGCGAGCGGAAGCACTGGGGATCTGCCAGATGTCATTATTGACGCGCAGGTCTTTTCGACCAACACGCTGAACAATATAACGGGTTAGCACGATGCCGTCGAAGCCCCAAGATCAAGATCAGGTCGTTTGCCGAGCGCCAGATCTTGACTCCGCCCCGCAACAGAAATGGAATCGATATGAAAATGAAGACTTCCGAATCTAAACGCAGGCCAGATTTGATCCATGAGCCCGACGGCAAATGCGGTCAGCCATTTGCGAATTGCTTGCCAGCGCGAGCTCTGGGATTGCGCTCTTGCCAGCAGAACAACCCATTCTGGCAGATACCTTCCAAGAATACCCACTTAGTGCCATGGATAATACACGTGGGGCCACTTATTGTCAAACAGTCTTCACTGGTTTGTAAAGTGACTCTGGACACAGGATGACCAGACGCGCGTGTCCGCTTGTGGCTCGGACCCACAGGAATGCTATCCCCCGTGATTTCGCGTGCATATCTCAGCTGGAGACGATTCTTTTCGGTGCCCGAGCGACCCGTCACGCTGGCAATCTTCAACAGCAGCCATGCATCATAGTCGTGGTCATAGTGATACACCCACCTGTGAAGAGCGCGAGCTCTGGGATTGCGCTCTTGCCAGCAGAACAACCCATTCTGGCAGATACCTTCCAAGAATACCCACTTAGTGCCATGGATAATACACGTGGGGCCACTTATTGTCAAACAGTCTTCACTGGTTTGTAAAGTGACTCTGGACACAGGATGACCAGACGCGCGTGTCCGCTTGTGGCTCGGACCCACAGGAATGCTATCCCCCGTGATTTCGCGTGCATATCTCAGCTGGAGACGATTCTTTTCGGTGCCCGAGCGACCCGTCACGCTGGCAATCTTCAACAGCAGCCATGCATCATAGTCGTGGTCATAGTGATACACCCACCTGTGAAGAGCATGATTCCCCCGGCCCCAATGAGCATCATTCGGGACATCTTTGGCCGTGGCCCAAACATCATACATCCACCAGGTTGTGGATGTCTTTTGGTAGCGTGGATCGATGGCACCTTCCTTGCACGGCCGACGCCTGCGAATGGTGGACCACCACTTCGACATCCAGGTCATATCGTTGTGAGTCGGGCCTGGAAAGAACCTGGCAAGCTTTGCGTTCACTTTATCCTCACACAAAAGAAAAGAACTTCTCCCTGAAGCTTCAGAGGCTTGGTCGCACGAAATGCGTCGCGCATGCACTGTTGCTGGGCATCGTGCAAATTGCTCGTGCACATAGCGCACTGGCCGCAGGTGCACTCCTCATCATCGGACGTGTCCGCCCCAACCCGGGACCGGAATCGAGGCAGCATCTGGTGTCGGTAGTACAGCCGTTGCTGGTGGTGGGGGTGGTGCTGCTGCTGATGATGCTGCTGCTGCTGATGATGCCGCTGCCGAGGCCAGCGGCGCCCCCTGATACTTAGATGCCGCCTTCACTCTCGGCCAGAAAAAGTTTCGACCTGGAGGCCGACCGGCATTGGCTGCGGTAGGCCAGGTGTCCTGGCTGCCCGCGACGACCCCTCGCCCGTGGCCGAGCTAGCTCCACCGTCGCCCGGGGTGGCCGCACGTTGGGCAAGGGCCCAGTCTCAGCGATGCATCTGGCCGGACTGTGATTCGTCCGAGCGCGCGGCCACAGGCTGTGTCGGGATAGGCGCGGAAGCGCCCTGGAAGCTGGCTGCGCGCTCCGCGACGCTACTGGACCGCGGCCGCCGCTAGTGCTGCTCGCGGTCGTAGCGAGACCCAGCCAGGATAGCTTCATCTCCTCCTGGGGGGAGCTCCTCGTCTTTCTCGGGGCCATGGCCTTTCTTCGGCCTACGTTTTCCAGCTGGACCTGTTTCCATAGATTCCGAAAGATCCACCGCTGGTCCTGGACGAAGCCCCTTTCCCGGTGGCGCTGTTTTCGGGGCATCTTGGGCGCGGCTGCCCTTCCCCTGGACGCGCCCGCCCTCGTCTGCCAGCCCAGTAGGCGCAAGTGGCGACTCCTCTTCGCCCCCCCCCTCCCCCCCCCCGCGCTTCGCGCCGATGGGGGCGCCGCGGGAGGAGCGGCGCTCGAGCTGCCGACAATCTGATTCGCCGCATTCAGCTCCCGATGACGAGGAACGCCCGCATCTCCGCCCTTGTTCCATGGAGCGCCTGGATGCCTGAAGTGCCAGTTCTGATTGTAGATCTTGGGGGTGTGATCTTCAAAGAACAACCTCCAGACCTGCTTGAGATCCTTCATCTCCGAGTCGGTCAAGGAGACTCGTCGGCCTCGGCGTCGGCCGGACCTCCGACACCGTCGGCGCGATCGGGGCTCCAGGAAGCGGCGCGCCGACGGGGACTGCGCAATGGCCGATCCATGGGGCACCCAGGACGACGCTTGCTGCAGCAATGACATCCGCCGTGCGATATGTCCTGCGGCCGGCGATAACTTCACGTCGGCGCGTCTCCTCCGCCCGAAGCACGGCGATGAGACGTCTCGATGATACGACTAGAATCGCCGCGGAGGACGCGCGGGAGAAACCACCAGTGGCGAATTTAAGCTCACCATAGCCTTCATTTGAGTACCACTGCGCGTCCTCGTCTGGCATTTCCACGCGCGGGCCCTGCCTGTTACGAGAAAAAGAGGGGCGCCCTCTCCCGAGCCGCCATAGCCCTTACCTGACGAGGGGCCTGCAGCACGCGAATGGCCGCGGCCACGGCTGCCGCCGCCCGCGCCTGGGCCCGGCCCCGCGGGGCCTGCTCCCGAGCTGCGGCCGCGGCGACGGCCGCTGCCTCTGTTGGCCTCGTCGGGGCCGGCCCCGATCGGACCTGAATCAACGGGGGCCTGGCGGCCCCGCATCGCGAGGGCAGCGGCGCCCGACTGGCCCCAACCCACCGCGGCCCACTCATCAGCAGCGAGGCCGATGACCGTCGGCGTTGGATGCTTGGGAAAACCACCCTGCTCGTGTCCGAGCTGAAATTGCTGCAGCTCTTCCCCGGTGGCAGCCGCGGCCTCGGCTTCGAACATGCCCCCCGCGATCAGAATGCACGCGTCCGCGCCGCGGCTGGCCAGCCCAGTCCTCGGACGGCGCATCGAGGAGCTCCTCGATGCCGTCGCGCAAGTACTCGGCGCAACACTCGACCGCCACGGCAGCCCCGGCGCATCCGGCAACCAAAAAACAGGCGGCGCCAGATTGCACGCGAGAAGGGCGATCGAAATCGGTGCGATCAGCGCACTCAAGCACGTCTTCCTCGCGTTGTTCGGAGCGAAGAAGCACGGATGCATCTCCTTCTCCGCGCCTCTTGATCGAGCCACTCAGACCACAATAATGATGGGCTCTGAGTTTTAGAAAAAGGGCCCTGAATGAATTTAGTAAACCAGTTTGTGAGTTTACTACATGATTATGCGTCTTGTTTTGATTTGGAGGCGCATTGCAATGAATCCGTCTCTCGCTTTGGTAAATCATCGCTGTCTCGATCATTTGTTCTAAGAATGCGCGTTCATGCATTGCCGTGACCTGCGTGAGCCGGTGACCTCTGGGACTCTGCGCCTGAAAACATTCGCCGCCCCCGCAAGAGTTGCATGTCAGGCGCTGGCCATTCTTATCCACGGGGTTTAGCTGGCGCCCCCTGCTTTACCCACGGTGCTTCCACGGCCTTCACCTCTGCCTTCCGCCAAAGGACAGTTCCTCAGAGTCGCGGACAGTTTTACTGGCTAGGAACGCGGCCGCCCCCTTTCCCGAGCAACATACGGGCGCGCCTGCCACCCTTCCCGTGACCCTACCTATACGAAAGAAGATGCGCCGCACCGCTCAACTAAATCCCCGACCTGGCTTCTTCACACGCCACCTCTACCTTCTCTGAGCACGGCGATAGCCAGGATATAAACACCATGCTGTTTGGTCGTCGCCAGCAGGCAGACTGACCAATCAGTTCTTTGAACGCCAGTTGGTGAGCAAGCGTCAATATCTGTGCCAGAGTCAAAGGTTTCTTCCCCTTGTTGGTTGGACGAACCCCAGAGGGCTGTCGCTGCGGGTGGCGCGCAGCTAGCAGCAGGTGGCCAGCAGACGTTAGAGCCAGAGACCTTAGCGTTGCCAGCCTCTTGGCCCAGTAATCTCGTGGATCCGGTAGGCTCCTGATCCCCCTAGATTTTACCCGACGCGGCCGCCGGCGTGTCGCTGACCTCGGCACGATAGGCGCCGGCATTGCGGCCACTGAAGATGTCCCCGACGTTGCCAGGAGCGCTCTCCGCCAGGTGCCCATAGATGCGCATGGGTTCCAGCAGTTGATCGTTCTGGAAATTGAGCGGTTGTAATGATTGAGATGATCGGGAGGTACCTATTCTCAGAGCGCGGAACAGTCGCAGCGTCAGGATCTGGAGATTGGGCATGTTGAAGCCAACCGAATGCACTTCCAGCCTAGCTTTTTTCGAATCAAGCCAGCACTGAGACGATGCGCTCGCCCCTGTCGAACCTGAAGTCGACACGGGCTGTTCCCGAGGCGACCTGTCGCTCATCCTCGAAGATTTCAAATCTGGTGCTTGGGAGGTACATGATGCATGTGATTCCATCGGTGCGTACACCTTGTAAAATTACGCCGTAATTGGCAATGGTGGACGGCATCCTCATAGGCAGGGCCCCGGAAAGACCCCCTAAGCCGCGCTGTAGCGCGGCGGTCTGTTGCGGTGGACTCATGCTTCCGCTTGTGACGTTAAACCATTCGTGTACTTCGCGAATGAACTCGCGGAATGGCACATTGCCTGCAGGGCTCCATTGGGGGCCCCGAGTGCGTGTTTCATCCGATATCCTCGCATGGAGCCCACGGCCAAGCCGAGACACACCCATATAGTCCCAAAGATACCCTAGACATAACGCATGCTCATATTGTAGTTGATGATATCAGGGTCTGTCTTTGGTGGCCGACGTATCCGTCGGGTTGCGAATGGAAGCATGGTCTGACGTGGCCGTCAGTTTGCGGATCGGCGCGGCGGTTAGGTTTGCGCGGGGCGTGTTGCGACGCGGTGGGGGGATGGAGGAAAAAGAAATTAAGTAACCAATTGGTTGAAGGGTATTGGTGGTATAGTGGCTAATAGCCGGCGCAAATGGGTATCCCACTGTGCCGTGGTAAGTTGCTTTGCAAATCACACCCGATATAAGAGCCAACCATATAAAGATGAGGCCAGGTCCGCTACCGAGTGAAAAACGAAGCTCTGGAGGGTGCAAGCCGAGACCCTCCTTGGGATGGCGTCGTAGTCGTATCACGGTATCCCATCGCTTATCCCTTATGAACGACAATATGAGAGACAAGGCATGAGATAGAGAGATGAGCCATCGGTGGATGTGCCCTTTATCCGACGCTCAGTTTCGATAGTACCTCGCTGGCGCGAGGTGGTCAAACAGGATAGCGCTATCTTGAGCCAGATAGCAGCAGACGTAGGCAAGACACTCGCTATGCTCGCTTTTGTCCTTTTGAATTTCCTTCTCAAGAGGGTGGACACGAACCGACAATTCGAGCCTTCCGCCCTTAGTGAGCTCAGGAGGCCCCAAGAAGCCCAAAAGAGGCCCCCAAGAGGCCTTCAAGAGAGCCTCGAGAGGCACATGGTTATCCTCTGGATGCTCAAGATGTTTCGGGTTCTCGCTTAGCTTCCGACGCTCCAAGACGGCCCAAAAGGCCCCCAAGACTCCCCCGAGACGGCTCAAAAGGCCCCCAAGAAAGCCCCAAGACGGCCCAAGAAGCGCCCAAAGGCTGCCAAAGAGGGCCCCAAGACGGCTCCAGAACGAGCCCAAGAGTTGAAACACAAACCAAGAACTCACAGGATGCCACCAGCAGGCCCTCCATTGCCTCCTCGAACCCCTGTCACCCAGAATGCTGCGGTGGGACGGGAGCGGAATTGCTGGAGACAGCTGGATATTTACGATGCGATGCGACGATGCGACCACCGATGGGGACAGTGGTCCGGGCCTAGCTCAGAGCAGGTAAGTGAAGCCGTGGCTTCCAGAAGCGGGTTTGTTGGGATACACGCAATAAGAGACACACAACAAACGCTAGGAGAGGAGAAGGACGAGGAGGAGGAGGAGATTAGGAGGAGGAGGAGGAAGAAGGAGGAAGAAGAGGAGATTAGGAGGAGGCAGCTGGACATTGGAAAATCGACGTCGATCCTGGATCCTCCCTCCTGCGGGGGGGGGGGGCGTCCAAGCAGCTTGCCCAGAACTCATCTTTCTTGCCCGCCGGCCCCCCAGAGGGAGGGCGCTCCCAGGTCGTCCTCGTCCTCCTCCTCCTCCATCCTTCTCCTCCTTCCCCTCCACACCCAACTCCTCCTCCTCCTCCTTGCCTGCCTCCTCCTCCTCCTCCTCTTCCTCCTCCTCCTCCTGCTCCTCCTCCTCCTCCTCGTCACCATCTTCCCCCTCTTCCTCCTCATCAACATCCCTTCCCTCACGCGGTGCCTTCCTCTTCCCTCTCATCCCGTTCCTCCTCCTGCTCCTCCTCCTCCTCCTCCTCCTCCTCCTGCTCCTCCTCCTCCTCCTCCTCCTCCTCCTCCTCCTCCTCCTCCTCCTCCTCCTCCTCCTCCTATTCCTCCTCCTCTCCGTCTCTCCCTCGCAGGCAATGGACTGGCGCACATCGTTCTCCAGGTCCAACGTGGAGCCGGGCGGGGAGGGAGGAGGGGGCTCCTCCTCGCCATCCTCCCTCCTGAATGGACGCCATTGCCTCTTTTGAGCCTCCCGGGACCTCCGGTATCCTCTCGTTCTCCATCGTCATCACCAATTCCCTGGTTCCTCTTCCTCGGCCGTCTCCCCCGGCTCCTCCCCGTCCGGCACGCCTCCTCCGTGGATCGATGCCGCCCCCGTCCGCGTCGCTCCGCTGCCGCCCAGGTCCGCAGGCGGGCCCCGTGGCGCCAGCCTCCTGCATAGCACTGCATGCCTGCGCGGCGCTCCCGAGAATCCAAGACTCCTGCGCTGCAGCTCTGCGCCGCGTGGGCCCCCGGAGGCCTGGACCTCTTCCCCAGGGCCAGCTCCCCACCCCCAGGAGGAGGGAGGAGGAGGAGGAGGAGGAGGAGGAGGAGGAGGAGGAGGAGGAGGAGGAGGACAAGGACAAGGACAAGAACAAGGACAAGGAGGAGAAAAAGGAGGAGGAGGAGGAGGAGGAGGAGGGCCCCCAGAGGCCGAGGACGGCAGAAGACCGTCCGTCGTCCGTCACGACTTTTCCGCGGCGATGCGGGGAATCGAGCGCGCTCCACCACTCGCAGCAAGGAGCTGCTCGCAGATGGCCTGGACCCGCCGCGGGGGACTTTTGCGATACACTGCATCAGTGCAGACAGATCTTTTCTCACGTTTGCGAGTAGGCCGTTTGCGATTAGTGGAACGCGCTCGGTGAGACAGTCCCTGGCTGGCCAGGGGGGGCAGGGGGGGCAGGGGCCTCCTCCTTCGCCTCCTTTTCCTCCTCCTCCCCCTCCTCCTCCTCCTCCTCCACCTCCTCCTCCTCCTCCAATGAGGATTAGTCTCCCAGTAGACTTCCAGACATTGTCAGAGGCTCTCCTGAAGTCACGCTGCGTTGGACTCATCCTTCCAGCGGTCCACGCTTTTATGCCCACAAATCGTTGTACTATTGTGGCTCAAGGCTACCAATAGCTCGCCCTGGTAGCGGAGCGATACGCTCTGCGGGCCCCTCCGCAGCCCACGGCCGGCCCCCGAGCGCGTCCAGCGGCGCACGCGCGCCTCCGCCAGGAGGCATCCTCAGCCGCAACCACTGCGTGTACATCGGCGACGTCCTCGCCGACAAGTGCTAGCTGCACGACAGGTACCAGCAGCACGACAGGTACCAGCAGCACAACAGGTACGACTCCCCGATCAATGCGATCACGCCAGATCACTCGGCACTATATCTTTGTGTGATTTCACCTATACTTGCTTCTCTGTTTCAACACAATCATAATGCGGCTTCAAATGGCAATGTGCCCAGCAATGCTTGAGAAGGCGGCGGCCCTGGTCCGCAGCAGGCCCGAGGCGAGGCTCGCCTCTCGAGCCCTCAGCGTCAGGCTCCTATATGCCGCCACGCTGGTTCCGGGCAGGCTGTGCTGTCCGGCGGAAGGGGACGAGGAGGGGAGAAGCAGGCAGACGACGACGAACGCCCAGGCGGGAGGCCAGGGCCGGCGGGGCGGGCGGGCAGGCAGAAGACGGGCCAGGCGGAGACAGCAGGCAGGGAGCAGGAGGAAAGGAAAGGGAGGGAAGCAACGAGCAGAAGCGAAGGGAGGGGGAGGAGGGGGAGGAGGACAAGGAGGACAGAAAGCAGCGGCCGCAAGCAGACAGGCCAGGCCAGGGGCCGGGAGAGAAGAGCCGCCCGCGACGAGGCTGCGGACCCTACGGCGGCGACCTGGGCGGGGTGGCCGCCCGAACCCAGCGAGTCCTAAGCTTGTCCCGCCAGGATGGCGACCGCATTTGCGTGGCTATACGTTCAGAAAAGACATGCAGAAGCTGAGACTAGGGTGGAGAATCACGGAAGAGCAGCAATACGAACGGATTGGCCCTCTCATTGTGTCCAGATTCCAGGGAGCTATCGTTCAGGCGGCCATGTCTTTCACACACCAGAGAGGTGGCATCAGTTACCGAAGTGATGAAGCTACTGCGTTGCCGCCAGAGATGGATGGAGTTGGAAATCAGATCGATCAGCCGGGCATCATAATATTTCGTGATTAGCCGAAGGCCATCTACTAACTCTACGATCAAGACAGAGTTGGCATCGTGTTGGATTTACTCTTCGATTACAAGAGAGCTCAGAATCAAGATCTTGCGACGTGGATATCACAGTTCGAGCTCCCTTTCGAAAACGCTGTCGAGGAAGGAGGCTGGCTTGGTAATGAACGACATAGGCAAGAGTCAGTTTCTCATGAAAAAAGCGGCCTCTCGGACAAACGGTTGGACGATCTGAGATTACATATTGCAGGCGACTTGTCAAAGCATCGAGTACTTCAAAGATTGATGATGAGAATGGGAAAGCAGGATCAAGTCGGCCATCATCATGAATGGGCATGGCATGCAGATCAATATGCAGATTCGGATGATGAACACGACGATTGGTATGATGCATATTATGATGACACGTTTGAATGGGGCTATGACGAAGCATACGGATGGACGGCAACATGCGATGGTGAATAGCATTATCAAGATTGTGACGACATCTGGGTACAGTACGACGAGCAAGGCAATCTCCTAGAATCCGCCGACCCTGTGTCGGCGTGTGGAAGAGGCTTTTCGCTCTGCCTCTTCTGAGGCTTTCCTGTCTGCCCCCTCTTCGTCGTCATCGTCGCTCATTCCCCTTGCCCTGGCCTCTCCCTCAAGTGGCGAAGCAAAAGGAAATTGAGCAATGTCGTAATCACAAAATTGAGCCACGTCGTCATTGAGTCGAAAGGAAGCCCCTTCCCTTTGATCCCTTCCCCGCCGGCGGGGGGAAGGGGCCTGGGGAGGGGTCCCGGGGGGGGGTCCCGGGGAAGTCCCAGGGGGGATCCCGGGTCAGATACGACCCCCCCCCCGGGAAGCCCGCGGCCCAACAAAGCCCCAGGACGAGCCAAGAATGTCCCAGAAGACCCTCAAGAGATCACGTCCTTTCTCCGTCAACATCTGCGGGCACCACTACCACCCCCGACTCCCCCCCCCCCTCCCCTGAACCTCTGCCTCCACCTCCCCCCCATCCTCCTCACCCTCCTCCTCCTCCTCCTCCTCATGCGGCTCCTCCCTCTGCTCGTCCTTTTTCTCCTCCTTCTACCTCGTCGTGGTCAGCGTCTTCATCTTCAGGGTCGGCGGCACCGGCCGTAAGGCCTTCGCAATGTGTGGAATCAGAAGAATCACAGGATACATATTTTGGCAAATCTGGCAAAGGACGAGGCAAAGGCACGAGAAGCAAAGGACGAGGACGTGGTGGATTTCGTAACAGGCAGTAAAGGAAGCGGCAAGCCAAGAGGAGGTGGCAACGACAGACTCGGTGGCAACGGTCAGCAGGGGGGTGGATGTGAAGTGTATGGCACTCAGCATCGCACTGTCCTGAGAAGAATCAAGAAAGTTCATCGGCAAGCTCAAGTTCGCAAGGCACAGGACAGCAGCCCTCTCAGAAGCCCTCAAAGGGCAAGGGCAAATCAGATCAGCCAAGTCTAGACATTATGCGAATGCAGCCCACATGGTCAAGACGACTCACAAAATGATGACACGGCCACCTGGTTCATGGATCGCAGTAAGAGAAGACGCGCCACCTACCTCACAGGCAAGCACGGTCGAGATCATGCAGCGAGTACCTGAACATGTTGAACAGCATTTTATTGGAAGTCCACAGCAGCACATTCCCGAGGGTGACACGTTTGAGCTGAATGACAGGAACTCGAATGGTATCATCCAGTCACCTGAAAAGGAACGTGAGCAAGTACTTCGTCCACCAGTTCTTGGTCTCGCCTCTCCGATTCCAGACATCTCTTCACGGACACCTTCACGCAGCATCATGAACACAAGACGAGAGACGACATCGACAACATCTACCTCATCGCCTACATCGTCAGCACTACAGACACAGACGTCAGTTCAGAAACTACTTAAGCAGTGTAACCCTGGTCTCCGTCAAGCATGAACGGAGGGAGGAGGGAGGAGGAGGAGGGAGGAGGGAGGAGGGAGGAGGGAGGAGGGAGGAGGGAGGAGGAGGAGGGGGAGGAGGAGGAGGAGGAGGAGGAGGAGGAGGAGGAGGAGGACATTCTGGATATGGCTTCTACGGAGGCAGCTCCTGGAGGCTGCCACGCTCCCACGGCGCTTCACAGCTCATCCGATCCACACGCGACGCTGCACACCATCAAAGGCCAGGAAGTTCATGGGCTCACTATTGATCCAGGCGCAGCTGAAGGGTTGCTAGGCACTGAAATTTTAGTGAATTGGGTCAAAGGTATCCATGAGCCTGATGGTCTGATTTACAACGTGGCATCTTCATCCGCATCTTTCACAGGGATCAATAGCCAAGCTGATCCATCCTGTGGAGAGTTTGTTGGTCCTATCCTGGTGGAAGGTATGCATCCACAGTCTACGCATCGAGCTGATCTGATCGGAAGACCTGGGGCACGCTGCCCTGGCTTGCTCCCGAACAGCACCCTGATGAAGGAGAAGAGCATTTTGTTCGAGAATGTATGTCCGAATGGTGATGGTATCTTGACTTTCGTATCAGATAACCGAGCACCAACACTGACCAGGATG